CTGTTGGGTCCATGATATTATAAGAACAGTCTGGGAGAACTTCTAAAGTGCCTTGGCCTGGTAAGGTAGAAAGTGAGGGCTCTCCTTACGTCTAATGTGTGAAGCTTTCACTCAATTGCTGTGGACGGAGATGGGAATAACATTGGAAGTGTAATAGACTGGTTTAGATGAAAGTCTGATATCACCTTAGGTAGGAAGGAGACGTCCAAGTACAAGGTAACTTTGTCCGGATGCATCTGAAAATATGGAGAGTCTGCTCTTAGAGTGGCCAATTTGCTAGCTCTTCTCATGGAGGTAACTGCAATGAGAAAGGCGGTTTTGAGAGAAAGTAGTTTCTCATTACAGGCGGCCATGGGTTCGAATGGCAGTCTGGTAAGTGCTTCCAAGATTAGCTGAAGAGACCACTGTGGTACAATACGCTTTATTGGGGGCCTGATGTTTTGTAGGCCTTTGAGGAATCTTTTGACAGTGGTATGAGATAAAAGTTTGATAGACTGGGAGCGGGTCGGTTGGTGGGCTATAACAGCTGAGACATATACTTTGATCGTAGAATGTGCAAGTCCCAGACGAAATAGATGCAAGATAAAGGTAAGTATCGTTTTAACGGAGGGCGGGACTGGTGTGAGTCCCTTGGACTGAGTGAATTTAATGAAAGATTTCCATTTGTTTTGATAGAGTCGGGAAGTGGATGGTTTCCGAGCATGGTCTAGGACTGCCCGAAACTTGGGGATATCCTCCACGCTGTCAGGTGGAGGGATTGGATGTGTGTATGGAGAATGGACCTGTCGTTCTGGGAGAGGAAGTCGGTATCGAAGGTAGGTGAAACATTTCCCTCATTATCTTCTTGAGGTAGGTGAACCACAGTTGTCGCAGCCACCATGGGGCAATAAGTATCGCGTCCGTGCGGTACTGGATGATTCTGATGACTGTCTTTAGGAGCATGGGTATCGGAGGGAACAGGTAAGTGAGTTCTCCGGACCAGGGTATCATGAATGCATCTCCTAGTATCTATGCTGGCTCTCGACCAGTATCTGAGGCACTTGGTATTGTAACGGGATGCAAAGAGGTCTATTGTTGGTTGGCCCCATCTGAGGCATATATCTCGGAAGACTGTCTCGTTTAGAGACCACTTGTGTGTGCGAGCGGGGAGTCTGCTGAGGCGACCTGCAAGATAGTTGTTGTCCAATGTGGATTGCTTGAGGGAAAACGTGATGAGTGCGGCACCATTGCCAAAACTTCATGGTTAGACAAAGGAGGGGTAGGGAGCGGGTCGCTCCCTGTTTACATAATTGCATGTGTCGTGTTGTCCGTTATGAGCTGAACTGCTCTTCCCTCAATACGTGGGAGAAAGGCTTGAAAGGCCTTCATGATGGCCAACATTTCCAGTTGATTTATGTGGAGCACTTTTTCTCTTTTTGATCACAAGCCGTGCATCTGTAGTTCTTGGCAATGAGACCCCTATCCCGAGGGGCTGGTGTCTGCTGCTATGTGTATTGAGAGGCAAGGCGGCTTGAGTGGTCTGCCAATTGATAGATTGTGTACGGATTTCCACCAAACAAGTTGGTCTGTCAGGTGCAGTGGAATCTGTAACTTATTCAGCAGGCTGTCCACTGAAGGGTCAAATTGAGAGAAGAACCAGGATTGGAGTGCCCTCAACTTCAGCTTGGACGGCTGCTGCTTGGTGTACCGAAAGGGCTGATACTGGTACTACTGTTGGTATGGGGGCCTCTTGTAAGAAGGCTTCTGGTATTTATATGGTTGGTACAGTACATATGATTTGGCTGTCTTTCTCATCTTGTGGATGTTTTCCATTATATCATCCGTTTTTGAATTAAACAGCCCCACGGCGTCGAAGGGGAGGTCTTCAATCTTATTCTTAGTATCATCCACAATATTAACTGCCCTGAGCCAAGCATGCCGCCTGACTGCTACTGAAGCTAGCATGGCTTTGACGCGACCCTCTGTTGTTTGGCGAGAGTACTGACATTCACTCAATGTATAGACACTCAGAGTTTCAGACTTTGATGGTTCTGGTAGGGCTTGCAGAGTGGGGAGAACTCTGTCCCACAGATGTTTCTAATAGGCCCCCATTGCCGCCTGGTAATTGGAAATTTGGATCATCAGCGCCACTAGAGAGTAAAGTTTTCTCCCCAAGGAATCAATTTTTCATTCCTCTCTGTTTACAGGAGTTGTAAAAGACCTGCTGTGGGACTTGTACTGAGTGGCCTCGGCCACAATAGAGTTAGGGATTGGATGTTTGATTAGGAAGTCCACATCCAACCCATGTGTCTTATAATGGTGTTCAATTTTTCGGTAAACTTGTAGAGTAGAGGACAATTTATCCCACAACTCAACGAGCTTAAGGAGCGCTGGGATGAGGCTCAAGCTAGGCAGAGGTGACTTGTCCTGGTCCATGTCGTGGAACACGAGATCCTTTTCATGCTGTGCTGATAATTGAGCGTCGAGTTGTAAGGTCCTCGCCATACGCAGTATGAGTTGAGCGTAAGACGATTAGTCTTCTGAAGATGTAAATGGTTGACAAAATTTCTTCTTTATCTTGTTATACTTATGTTGTTTTTTATTTGTTTGGAAGCTGTCTAGAGTGGTCGCAAGACCAGATAGGCGGGATATAAATAAAATAAATAAAAATAAATAAATAAATAGACTGTCCGTGATATTCTCTGGAGGGTGTTGAGTGTCAGATGCCCCCGTGGAGGATGAGCCGTCCTTATTGGAAGAAACAGAGGTCCTTGAAGGTGAATGGTGGAAACCTCTCATGCAAACCCTAGGATGGGGTTTGACATGCGACTGTGTGGATGTCGAGAAAGGCTTGGTATCAGGGTCCTGAGGGACAACGTTTGCTGTGATTAAGGTGTCTAGCTGGTGCTGGTACTACGGGTTCTGGTACCATAGTCCTCTTTCATGATGGTTCGACTTGGGGAGGTAGGGACATTCCCTCGGTGTCGAGTAGTGGTTTCAAGCGGAGACGGCATGGAGGGGTACCAAGATGGTGGCAGAAAATTAAATCCCCTGTGTTCTTGGTAAGCATAGCCATGGTACGGATATGGCTGGTATCGATCATAATGGTAGCCGTAATGCAGTGGCCCCTGGGGATGGTAGTATTGGCCCTCATGGCCCCACGGTTGGTATGGCGAAATATACTTTCGTTTCTCCATTCTCTTTTCTGGAGTGCATACTGCAGACTCCTGCTTGGATTTGGCATCAGTACCTGCCCACCCTGAAGATCGAGGGCTAGAATGGGCTAAGGCCGGGCTGGATGATGCATCAGCCTCACCATGGCCTGAACTTGGAGAAAAACGGAGCAAGGCATGAGGTGCTTGAGCTGGAGGAATGGCACATTCCTCTCTATCTGAAAGCCCAAGATTGTCTCTTGAAGATTCTTCCAAATGCATTGGAGTTGGAGGGAGCGGAGTAATGGCCGGTTTAAAGGTTGTCTTTTGTTTCTTAATTTTGTCCTTATCTTTCCTCTTTTTTGCAGACTTGGCTGGCCTTTCAGAAGCCTTAGAAGAGGCTCGTTTGGCTGATTTTTGAGAATTCTTGGGCTTGGTAAGAAAAGAAGTCATGCTCAACAAGGACTGTGCAGCCAGGCTGGGGGCAGTCTTTGCAACCTCCAATCATGGAGTGGGAGAAGGAACAGGCTGCCCTTCCATGGCTGGATTAAGGGTCTTTTTGTAGAGAAAGGACCTTAGGCGTTGCAGTCTGAGCTTAATAGCTTGTTCAGAGAAGCTTCTACACGAAGAGCACGACTGGGTTTGATGGGATACCCCCAGGCAAAACAAGCACAAATTGTGTCCGTTGGTCAAAGGAATTTTTTGAGTACAAATGGAGCACTTCTTAAAACCCTGAGGGGCCATAAACAGGGGGGAAAGGGAATAAAATAAGGGACAGGGAATTGGGGGAGACAGCGAAAGAACTTAAAGGGTGGTTCTATTGCTAGAAAAAAACAATATTGAATAGAAATCAAGATAGGAATAGAAAAAAGGGCTATTATCACTTTCCTTAATTGCACTGCTGTTCCTCATGTCCTACCCGAATGGCAGAAAAAAAAGGAACTGAAAGGAAGGTTGAGGAGGCGGAGCCCACGCCCTGAGGGGGGGGGGAAACTAAATTGTTTCTTTTTTCCTAAGCTCTAGAATCTTCCAAACGTCCTGCATAGGCGTGGAATAAACCTATTTGTGTGCATTCACAGAGGCCAGTATGAAGAACCATAGCTTTCAGCTGTAGTGCCCAAAGGAAGACAAAAAACATGGCCAACATTAGGCAGGAGTCTGGTAGGCATGAAAAAATTCCTTCCCAGACTTTCAAGATGACCTGCATATACCAAGGACACCCTATATTTGTTAAAGAAAAGCTTTAGGAACTAACTCCTTTCATAAAACACGTTCCAGAACTGGAAGCAATCTTACTGCTTCTATTTTTTGCCATAAACAGTCTCACATAACAATGTGGATATATCTAGCAATTTTTAATTTCATTTATTTATTTA